AAAAACAAATGTACCTAGCAACTGGAATGTAGAGAAACGCTATTTTCATATTTTTTAAATGAAAAATAACGTCAGAGATTGTCACGTGTGGAGAATATTGCCATTATATCTGTGTTGATGTATTCAACCATTTTCTTTCGATTTTATGAATCTGTTGTGCATATTTGTTTGTAAGAGCATTAATTTTGTTAAGAAATATTAATCCAAATATTAATTTACGCCCAGGCTTTTTCCCTATTTCACCTTTCTTAACAAATTAATAGTTACGTTGTTCATTTAATTTCATTTTCGTATTTTGCTTTGATAAAGTCCACATTGGACGAAACGCGTCAGCAATTACCAGTTTTCCTATTGTCATTTTTATTCATAAATATTGTCTTCTACCGATTAAATCGGAGAAATTTTCATATATATATATATATATATATATATATATATATATATATATATATATGATAATCCCTAACGAGTGGACGGAAGAATTTCCGGCGGGTCAGTCTATGATTATCTGGTGTCGGGATGCTGAAGGTAGCACCACTCAGATAAGTAACAAACCTGTTACTCGTCTTAAGTATCCCTGTCTCTGTCTGTCTGTCTCGCTGTCTCCCCATCCCTCTCTCTCTCTCTCTCTCTCTATATATATATATATATATATATATATATATATATATATATACCTAACCCACTTCTTTATTTGAGAGAATTACCATACCGAATGCAGCAGTTTTATATTACTGTTGCTTCATCTTACGTCGCAGTAAAACTAAAAGTCGCGTTCAGATTACCGGAAGTCGGATATAATCGATTTCACGTTATCACTGAGGCGAGATTGAAGTAGATTTCTGCCGACCCACTTCCTTTTATGCAATTCTTTTCAACAACAACTTGTTTATATGCAACAGTGCTTACATTTGACTAAATCATAAGTCTCCTCACTACTGTTGTTAGTGTCGCTGAAGCAATTCAAAAACAAAAACAAAAAAATGAAACATTCCAAAATTACTAAACACTATATTTATTTTTAATAGTTTTAGGAACCCAACCGATGCCACTAGTTTACTTAAATAAAATGTCTCTCTTTTAGATTTAGTACATCAAAGGATAAAGAAACTTGAATCAATAATTTAAACACTTTCAATACTAATTACAGCTAAAAATGAAGCAACTTTAATATGAGTCCAGTTTCCATATAAATTAATTCTAAATTAATGTACCTCCGGAAGCCAAAACAAATATATTCATACGACGTGATTTCTTAAAATTTAATAATAAAAAAATAAATAAATAAATAAACTTCGTAATCTAGTTTGTTTTGGTTTTATTTGGTTTATTTTGTTTTACGGCATATCAACCTCAATGGGTTATTTAATGCTGACAACATTTTTAGGGTATATTCATATGAATAGACTATGTATTCTCTGATTTAGATTGCTTTGGTTTATTTTGTTTTATGGCATATCAACCTCAATGGGTTATTTAATGCCGACAACCTTTTTAGGATATATTCGTATGAATAGACTATATATTCTCTGATTTAGATTGCTTTGGTTTATTTTGTTTTACGGCATATCAACCTTAATGGGTTATTTAATGCTGACAAAATTTTTTATTGCTGGTAATATTTTGTTTTGTCAAAAATCTGTTTCTGGTAATACTTTTAATTCAAAATTGTATTGCTGGTAATAATTTTTTTCAAAATTATTGCTGGTAATAGTTAACTATTTGCCATAGCTAGGACCCTAACAGGTGCTACCACCACAGGTCAGGGTGGACCTGGGAAAACCGTCAATTAAGATGTGGTTCCACGCTCCTCAAAACCTCCTGATCAGAGGCCTTGCTGCTGGACGTAGTTTATCGTCTTACCCAGGACTCGAATGTAGTTTATCGTTATACACAGAATACACGTAATCTAGAATGCTCCAGATTACGAATTGCAGTTCTTTTAAGAAATCACATGGCATGATCATATTTTGTTTTACTTTCCGTAGGTTGGTCAATTTGTATTGAATTTGCATAGTAAACACGATCCCCTATTAATCTTTCTAAATATTTAATAAAAGAAATAAATAATCGTTATCTAGAATGATAGTAATATAGAGAAAAAATGAGTTGCCGTGCTTATCATACAACTCTTATTGATGTTGCTTATTAAAACATTGTGTATTTAACTAAAAATACCATGTATAGAAAGACAATAATTTCTGACAGATCCCAATCTGTGTTCTATCAACATGGCCGATGTTGACTTCCAAGATTCTTTGCGCCTTCTCGGCTGACATAAGATGGAAAGACTATACTGAACCCATGACTAGGTCTCTAGCTAAGAAAGTTGGTTCACTGTGCTAGGCAATCTTACATACGTCTACTATTCTTCCTTGTTTTGAATATTGGTGCCACCTCTAATCTGGTGTTCCTGCTATATATTTAGAGATACTCTGCGTTGCTACCTTCTGTAGGAGATTTTGTTCTTTCGTGTCTGCTATCAGTACTGTGTCGTCTGCGTATACTATGTTGTTAAGATTGTGGCCGCCAATGCTAAATCCCGGTAGGGTTATCAATGCTCTCTAAATTGTCTCGATGCATAGATTGAACAGGTCGGGTGAGAAGACGCATCCTTGCCTTTACGCTTCTTTCTGCTCGCTCTTTTCCCACTCAATCTGTCTGAGCTGCCTGGGATTGAACTGGCAATTATTATGCCACCAAACTCATGGAGCAACGCTATTAAAAAACAGAGCAAGCAATAATGGATCAGGAAACTGATGAATATATATATATATATATATATATATATATATATATATATATATATATATATATATATATATATATATATATATATATAAGGGCCCTTCCAAGAGGGAAAAGTGTCTTTATCACATCATCCCTAGAAAGAGACCCAAGTTTAAAGAAAACGCTTAAACCCACACACTCTTACAACCATATTAATTGACAAAGTACGGAGTAAATAATAATTTTAGATATGAAAGCTTTAGATGATTTAGAGATAAAATCCAAAGATGAATCAGCAATATTATTGGTCCTGATCTGGCGGTTCGGCTAGGCTTAGCTTCAGTCACTCACCAACCGGCGTAAGGTACCTTCACTGTGCTTTTTCTACAAATACTTTCATTGTAATTGTTCGGGTGAGCATTTCGCTGTGGTCCCAAGACATTAGTAATTTAAGCGCAGAACTAGATTAGCAAAAAGTTCTCATCAATTTGCAGTTGAATTGGGTAGATGTAACCGTAAGTTCTATGCTAACAGTTTCTTTTCTCGCACTTCTCGCTTGTGGGACTCTCTTCAGCCAACTTTCAAAATTTAAATGCAGTGTTAATCGTTATCTACTGTCTTCTTGATTACTTTTATTGTTCTCGCTCCTTAATTATGTCGTCCTGTGTATGACGATAAACTACATCAGCGTCCTGGGTAAGACGATAAACTACGTCCAACAGCAAGGCCTCTGATCAGAAGGTTTTGAAGAGCGTGGAACCACATCTTAATTGCTGGTGTTCCCAGGTCCACCCTGACTCGGAGTAGTAGCACCTGTTGGGGTCGCAGCTATGGGCAAATAGTTAATATCCAAACTTGTGTAAAAATGGGATTTTATACCAGAAAAAAAATAATTACCAGCAATAATTTTTGAAAGAAAAATTATTATCAGCAATACTTTTAAAGAATAGCAGCAATACAAAGAGCTATACATTTTTTTGACAAAAGATATTACCAGTTTAAAGATATTATCAGCTTCTTACCAGCTATAGATATCTTGAAGGAAAATATTCTAAGAAATAGATTTTTGAAGAAAAACATATTACCAGAAATATAAAAAAAATGGCGGCATTAAATAACCCATTGAGGTGATTTTCCAAGCGTAGCTTAGATGTGGAAAGTAGGGGGCACCCAGTGAGGATCGAAATCACTACTCAGTTGTAATTGTTCTCGCGAGACTAGCTTGCTAACCATTACACCGCCTTGAGGTTGACATAAAAACAAAACAAACCGTAAAACAAAACAAACCAAACCTTATGTTTCGTTGTGCTCTTATTTTTTGCACTCAATAGCCCCTTGTGATTTAGTGGCTTTACTCCCTTGCATGGGGTGAAATGATTAAAAAAATATAACGGTATGCTTTTTTTAATTTAAATATATCCGAAGAGGTTAGGGTGTTGCCCATACTAGACGGACTCTCAGGCCGTGGGGAATTACTTGCTTGCTTATCTCCGATTTCAAGTTGTTTGTTTTAGCGGTCGAAGAATATATCTGCCCAGCGTGCTGTGTTAAAAAGCAGCAAATATAGGATAGAAGGCTGGAAAGTTAATTTGTTATCCCTTCTTAATAATGTTCATGTTTTTTTTTTCTTATTCTTTCCAATTCGGTTACGCCATTGTGTCTTAGTGGCTTTACTGCCTTGTTCGGATTGAAATGATTTTACAAAAATACAATCTGATAAGTTGTACATAACGTTAAAATAAGAGATTTGGAAAAAAAAATAAAGACTTTAGTATTTTTGGTTTTCAAACCTCACCTTCCAGATTTAGGTGAAGTCGGGAAAACTCAAAGCAAGCGGAAGTAAATCTATCATCTAAGCGAATGAATTTCGGAGACCTGCCCAGTCTATACTCCGCATTTATAATGTGTCATGTCAACACATTTAAACTAAGGAAAATATTCTCTATCTGTCTCCTGGGATTGAGATGACTGTACAGTTTACTGCGAAGCAAATAAGTTTGGCGCAAGGAGAGAGAACAAAGGAATAACCCATCGTCCCAAGGGAGAAGTAAGGTTCCAAGGAAACAGAACGATTCTCATATTCTTTATTTAAAAAGAAAGAATTCCAAAAGCGAACAAAGATGCACCCTGCCTTTTCCTCCTCGAGGGTTGGAGAAAGGAGTTTTGCACATTTGGTCAACACATGAGCCAGGCAAACAGATGTAAGATCTCTAAAGTCGGACTGACTTTCGTGTTTCGTCAAGAAAACAGGGGATGATCGTTCCTTAAATATGGAAGTTCGACCCAGCTCTCACCCCACCCCACAATATACAGTAACATCAACATTTATCCGTCCCTGTTTAATACTGATGACTGTTCTTTCTGTCTTTCTTTCTGTCTTTATTTATTTATTTATTTATTTATTTATTTATTTCTTTCTTTCTTTCTCTCTTTCCCCCCTTTTTTCTTTATTTTTCTCTCTTCCTTTTTTCTTTCTTTCATTTTCTTTCTTTCTTTCTTTCTTTCTTTCTTTATCTCTTTCGCCCTTTTTCATTATTTTTCTCTCTTTCTTTTTTCTTTCTTTCTTTCTTTCTTTCTTTATCTCTTTCCCCTTTTTTCTTTATTTTTCTCTCTTTCTTTCTTTCTTTCTTTCTTTCTTTATCTCTTTCCCCCTTTTTTCTTTATTTTTTCTGTTTCTTTTTTCTTTCTTTCTTTTTTCTTTCTTTCTTTCTTTCTTTATCTCTTTCGCCCTTTTTCTTTATTTTTCTCTCTTTCTTTCTTTCTTTCTTTCTTTATCTCTTTCGCTTTTTTTTCTTTTTTTTTTTCTTTCTTTCTTTCTTTCTTTTCTTTTTCTTTTCTTTCCCTTTTTTTTTTTTTTTTCTTTTTCTTTCTTTCTTTCTTTCTTTCTTTATCTCTTTCCCCCTTTTTTCTTTATTTTTTCTGTTTCTTTTTTTTCTTTCTTTTTTTTTCTTTTTTTTTTTTCTTTATCTCTTTCGCCCTTTTTTTTTATTTTTCTCTCTTTCTTTCTTTCTTTCTTTCTTTATCTCTTTCGCCCTTTTTCTTTATTTTTCTTTCTTTCTTTCTTTCTTTCTTTCTTTCTTGATCTCTTTCTTGATCTCTTTCTTTCTTTCATTTTTTCCTTTCTTTTTTAGGATGCTCATCTAAATAATTGGAGGAAAGTTGATTTTTTCGCCCTATTTATTTTTATGTTATCTTTGTGTGTGTGATTTTTTTCCTCTCTTTTATTTTTGTTTTTATTTCCTGGGGGGTCATTAACGTTGATTTCTGTTTATACTAAAGGTAACCCACGAATTATAAAATGATACACACAATAAGAGAAGCTACTCTGCGTTAAGAGTTTGTTTGTTTTTAAGGTTTTTCAGGGTGTGTCCGAATAGTATGCTCTATCAACACTAAATGTCGATTTGTGGGTATTTCGTTTCATTTTCAGTAGTCACTGATAAACTCCAGTAAGATTTAATCCCAACTTAAAAAAAATGTTTTGATGGTTACAATCTGGTAACGCTTAACTACCCAACATTACTCCATTTTCTTTTTTTCTTTTTCCATTTATCTTTTTACCTATCGTATGTGATGTGAACTCCGATAGCGACTACGTATATTTATGAATGTGCGTGTATTTATAAGTGACAGTTCGAGACACGTGGCTTTCCGAAAGATTTAAGTAACAGAAAAAAAAACTTAAAGTATCACAAATAGTGTAAATATTTCTCTGATTTTTTTTTAGGTTAAAAATTATCATTATTTACACTCTGATTTGTTCATACTCATATTTTAAAATTATTGTTGCACAGGCAAATAATACATGCTAAAGCTTTCATATGTAAAATTATTATTTACTCCGTACATCGTCAATTAATATCGTTATAAGAGTGTATGGCTTTGAGCGTTTTCTTGAAACTTGGGTTTCTTTCTAGGGATGATGTGATAAAGACACTTTTCCTCTTGAAAATATATATATATATATATATATATATATATATATATATATATATATATATATATATATATATATATATATATATATATATATATATATATATATATATATATATATATATATATATATATATATATATATATATATATATATATATATGTCATCCCTGTTTCCTGTTCCATTATTGCTTGCTCTGTTTTTTCAATAGCGTTGCTTCGTGAGTTTGGTGACATAATAATTGTGAGTTCAATCCCGGGCAGCTAAGGCAGATTCAGTGGGAAAAGAGCGAGCAGAAAGAGGCGTAAAACGCAAAGATGTGTCTTCTCACCCGACCTCTTCAACCTATACAGCGACAATTGGAAACCCTATCGCGATTTAGCATTGGCGGCCACAATCTTAACAACATAGTATACGCAGATGACACAGTACTGATAGAAAACATCGAAAATAAATTACAAAATCTCCTACAGAATGTAGCAACAGAGAGTGTGAAGACGGGACTATATTTAGTCCCCCCCCCCACGAGGGTGTCATGTGGCACAAGGCCTTTTTAATATGGGCATTTCCGAGCCATTAGACTCGGCCAAAAAATAGCCCAATTTGAACCCGTATAAACGGGTTCAGGGCCGGTTTTACCTCCCCGAAGGAGACTCCGCCCTTCGGCGTAGCCTCCTTTGGGTTCCTCTCTGTCCGTAGACAGAGAGTTGAACCGATCCATCGCTCAGAAAGTGAACGACGGACTAAGTGAAGACGGGACTAAGCATGAACTACAAGAAAACAGAATGCATGGTCATCAGTAAAAGGATGAGCCCGAAATGCGATTTACAGGTCGGTAACACTAGAATCAAGCAGGCGCGGAAGTTTAAATATCTGGGAAGCGTTCTGACTGACGACGGTAAATGCGAAACTGAGATCCGTAGACGTATTGAGATGGCCAAAGACGCATTCCCAAAGATTATTGTAAGACAAGGGGATTTCTTTGGTAACGAAGAAAAGAATACTGCGCGTTTACGTGACATCTGTCATTCTTTACAGCAGCGAATTTTAAACGATTTCCTCAAAGACGAAGAAGAGACTCGAGGCCACGGGTATGTGGTTCTACAGAAGGAGGCTAAGGATATCATGGACCGAGCGTGTGAGCAACGATTAGGTCTTAGAGAGGATGCAAACAAAGTGGGGGCTAATACTTAACATCAGGAAGAGACAGCTGAAGTTCCTGGGACGCATAATAAGGAAAGAGGGCCTGGAGAATCTGATACTCACGGGTCGAATAGAGGGAAAGAGAGACAAGGGAAAACAACGCATGACATACCTGGCGGGCTTAAGCAAGTGGAAAACAGAACGTGGAATGGGGGAGGTGGCAGAGGGAAGGAACTTGTTGAGAGCTGCAAGGGATAGAGGGAGGTGGAGAGCCATGATCGCCTACGCCCTGAAAGGACACGGCACAGAGAAAGAAAGAAGTAAGTAGGAAGTACTATAAAGAATAAGACTAGATATAAACAAGAGAACGAGAACAATCTGCTCCGTCCCTGATCAGTAAAAACACATATAATTACAAGAAAATTGTTCGGGATGTTGCGAGATGCATAAGATGCGCTTGAAATCCTTTCGGCATCATTAGGTAAGATATGTTAAATAATAGTTGAACTATTATTTTTGGAGGAAGTGTATCGCTGCTCCGACTTCCTGAGGTTGACCTTTGGGGTCAGATGGCAGACAAAACAAGGAATTCGATTTTGATTGGCTGGGCCAGCGTGCGAACGATAGATAGAAAAGGTTTTTTTCGGTGAGTTGTTTATGAACCGTCAAGCAATGTAGACGTATTTCCTTTCGTGTCTGGAACTGCTCCCCAGTGGAGGGAGAGCAACCCAATTGGATAAATAGAAGATGTATACGCCGACGCTAATAAAATAGCTAAGGTAAAATTCCCTGTGTTGAAGTTTGTTTGTTTTTTTATTTTATTTTATTTATTTATTTTTATCTCTGGACTCAAAACAACTAGCGATCTCCGGCCGTGAAAGAAGAAAAGCAACTTTATTAACGAATTGACACCGTCGACTTCAACAGAACAAGAGAGCTATAGTAAAAAAACCTCCCGGCTCTTCCATGCAAACCGCCTGCACGCGGATAGAAAATTAGCTCAACAGACATACAAAATAGAAAAAGGCTGTCAAACAAGGCTGGGTCTTCTCACCAGACTTATTCAACCTATACAGTGTGGCGATTCTGAGAGAGAAGAAGTCCTACCAGGATTCATTATTGGCGACCCAAATCTTTACAACATAAGATATCCAGATGTTACAATGTTAATAACAGGCACAGAATGAAAACTACAAAAACTCCTACAGAAGATAGTGAAGGAAAGCGAGAAGAAAGGACTAAACAACAACAGCAAGAAGACAGAATGCTGGATTGTTAGCAAAAAGGTTTATCCCAAAGTACGAACTGCAAATCGGAAATGCCAAAATCAAACAAGTGCGGAAATTTAAATATTGGGGAAATGTTTTAACAGAGTGACACTGAAATCCGAAGGCGTATTGTGATAGACAAAGATGCCTTCCAAAAGCTAAGCAGAGTATTAAGAGATAGAAAAACTTTGCTAGAAACATGGAAAGTGTGTGCTGAATAATCTCCCTAAAGATGAAGAAGACACTTGAAGCAACAGAAATGTGGTTCTACGGAAAGATGGTAAGGATATCATAGACCGAACATGTGAGCAACGATGAAGTTTTAGACAAAATGGAAACACAAAGGAAACTTATACTTGACATCAGGAAGAGACAGTTGAGGTTTCTCGGGCATCTAATGAGGAATGAGGGCTTGGAAAATCTGATACTCACAGGACAGATTGAAGGCAAGAGGGAAAGGAGAAAACAGCTCATGACGTACTTAGTGAACTTGAGTAAATGGATGGCGGGACAGGGTTTAGGGGGAATAACAGAAAGAGAAAATTTATTAGGAGCTACACGGAAGTTGTGGAGAGCCATGATTGCTTACGTCCTGAGGTGTCACGACACATAAAGAAGAAGAATAGAAATGTCCATTATTTAAAAGTATCATCAATCCTTTTGTGAACTGTGAATTATCCTGACTTAGATAAGATATTAGGTAAAAGGAATAAGTTGTACAAAAAATATGAATACATGTCAGTAAGCAAAAGAAGCACAGTGGAGTAATGGATATCGGCTCGGATTGAGGAATCGGAGAGCCGAGTTCGAATTCCAGTCAAATCCATTACGTCTTAATACCCTTGGGAAAGGTATGAATCCTCTTCTCTCACCAGCTATAGGTAAACAGCAGGACAGACTGGGTTCTATAATCTTGGATGGCAAGTGGTCTACCGCAGGAAGAAATCTGCCTCTTCAATCAAGTATCGAATTATATATAATCGCCTAAGCTTGTATCACGCATAGCACATGACTGACTGAAGGAAAAGAAGCATTCGAAGTTGCGTATCGGGAACGTGAAAATATTGGGGAAATATCTACGAAAAATCATCTATTTGGATAGATTAATAAAAGAATAGAATAAAAAAACTGCTATATAATATCTAACCTCCTGTGCTGCCGTCAATAGTGGATAATTTCGCCATATATGAAGAAAATATTAAAGATGTGATTCTACCGAGGCACGGTGGAGTAATGGATAGCGGATCGGATTGAGAAATCGGAGAATGAATTCTAGTCGAATCCATTACATTCACTTACGTGCTAATACGCTTGGAAAAGGTATGAATCCTCTTCTTCTCCAACCCCCCAGCTATGGGTAAATACCAGAACAGACCGAGCTGCCTTGGATGGCAACTGGTCTACCGCAGAAAGAAATGGCAACCTACTGCGGAAAAAACATCTGCCTCGTCAGTCATGAATCAGAAGATACATGATCGCCTATGTGTGTATGACGCATGGCACATAAATGACTGATATATATATATATATATATATATATATATATATATATAAAGGGGCTGATAATAGCCCCGTAAAGAACGGCTTGAAATAGACTAACCTCTCTGTTGAGGTAATTTTTTTTTTTTTTTTGCTGTATATATATATATATATATATATATATATGTGTGTGTGTGTGTGTGTGTGTGTGTGTATATATATATATATATATATATATATATATATATATATTGGGTATGTGAAAAGTTCTCGGCTTTTTTTTAATATATATATATATATATAT